TGCAGGCCGAACTGTGTCATCAAATCTCTTCCGATGATGGACGGCCGACTCCCCCTATGACTTTTATCTTCACGTCCCCTTTTCATCCGTTAGATTCCAGAATTACAATCATTGTTCCGATCAGTTTTTGAGGATTAATTCCGTTGTCTCGAAACGCATGATCTTCCACCGAGAGTGCATCCGTTTTCAGACTCAATGCTCCGAGGGTTCGTTTCAGTTCTCCGATAATGAAAAGAGAAATCGGAGACCCACCATTCAGCCACACCCGACTAGCTTTCCCATTTATGCAAATTGGCAGTTGTGCCCCGGCGATCTTGAGTTCGGTGAAATTTTTGTGTCGTACAGTCATCACCATGTAGTCTTCTGAGCTATCGGGATCCCACGAGTGTACTACTGGTTCACTTGGATTTACCTGGATGGAGCCCTCCGGTGTTTTGGTGGATTGACACAATTCATTTTGCGCTTCGCGATTTTTCATGTTTACAACGAACACGTCCCCTAGAATTCGATCTTCTATGCCTCAAACTTGCATCTGGCTGCGAGCCCGCTCAAATTTGAATGAAATTGTCCTAGCGAGAAGTTGAAATGTTTCTTAGATCTCAATTCTTTCCTTCTTGAACTCCGATTCTATTGCGTCTGAAAGCCTCGGGTAACGAGTTGTTGAAAGGACCAAATGCGGTCGTCTCTTATGCAGCTCGTCCTGCCTCTTCTGGTCCAGACACAAGTCCAAGTTTGATATCAAAGTTTGCACGCTTTCCAACCAGTTTTCCCCGTCCACATCCGGTGGCAAAGCTCTAACCTGGGCATCGGCAACGTGGCCGCAAAATAGAAACTTTTCGGGTTTATCGAGTGTTTCGCAACCATTCCCCACTGGAATCTATTCAGCCAAAACTCCCAAAGCATTGGCGGTTCGTTGCATTTCAGAGGACAGAATCCGGTGATGCCAAGTGGGTTTCTCCTCCCCCCACTTGTAACTGCTGGCTGCGCCATGTTGAAAATGGTGATTGTACAATATGGTAAATTCCGACAGTAATCTAACTTAATCCTACAAAGTTAAATCCAAGAGTAATTACAGAGGCCAACCGACGATGACAGACAACACCGAAGGCCGGGACCTGCCAAGAATTAATTAGCACCACAAATTACAGCTGATTGATGGCTAGAAGTAGAGAACTCTCATGAACTGAATTAGCACCATATAACACTTGATCTTACAATTTTTTGTGTTTTCGATTATTTGCAGCCCCTTAGAATCTACAAACAACTCTAGGCAATTTTTATCTTAGTTTTTTAAGTAACTCGAAAAAAATGAATTAATCATCTGAGAGCTTTTTTAGTAAGCTAAACTTTTTTTTTCAGTATCAGTTTTCATCAGAACATTTCTAATTCTCGGCTTCAGTGTGAGTATAATCTCATTTTTTTATAGTTTCAGAGTGGCCGCTATTTTTCTATAATATATTTGTAAGCTTTGGCAAAAATGGCACACTTTGTATTACTGCGGTTTAAAGTGGTCTTGAAAATAATGAAAGACAGATAAATCCAGCTAGACTGTCTACTAGAATTGTTTTTACAGCACTTGAGGCTGAAATACAAGCAAGAATTGAAATTGTTATCTGCGTTTTCCTATCAGTTCTCCGTTTTTATCAATTTTTTGTCTAGCGATTTGACATAACTGCTAATTAGCAAAGGGGTCAAAAAATTGCTTTGTGGTACTCTTGCCGGCGTTTGAATACAATCGAGAAGCAATCTTTAATGAATTTTTCCGACTTTAAGTTTTCAAAATTTTCGACTTGACCTATATAAAAATTTTCTTTTCGAAATGTAATTTTTCTAAAATTGTCAACTTCAACTCAAATTGGGGTCAAATCACACAGTATTGACGACCGAAAGACAAAAGATCTGTAGAAGTAATTGTTGTTACTACCTATATCAGAAGCGAATTGTAAACAAGACTGCTCGTATCAGGGCGAAGCCCTGATTGTTCCGACTGCCTTTTAAGGTTTATGGAGCAGTATTAACATGAAAAAATTAAACGAAATAAAATAAAATGAAAATTTTTTTTCTAAAATTTGAATTTTTTTGTAATGAAAATCATCCCCCACACGCCATATAAAGTACAAAAGGATAGATTTCGTTCCTTGTAACAAATCAATTATGGCAAATAAGCCAATTTGGAAAGATTTCTAGTACGGATTAAATCTCCGCTTACGCGTTATTAGCGCGAATTATATCGCGTGTTAATTGTCCCAAATTGGTCAAAATGGCCAAAATGGCAAACTTTAAACCCTCATAACATTACGAAAAATGATCAAAGGTGAAATATCTTTTCAAATTTAAGCTCAGCAAAACAATACTTTTTGAATGATATAAAAAAATTCTGTCGAAAATGGCTAGTTAAAAAGTCGAAATTTGTCTGAAGAAAAAAAAACCCACCCCGAGCACAAATATTCCGTTACTTTCGTATCGAAAGTCGGAACAATTACTTTCGTATCGAAAGTCGGAACAAAAAGCTCCAGGTTTGAATAAGTGCTTACGAGACCCAAATTCATTTTTAGAAATACAATCACTTTTCTTCATATCAACCTTCTGTTTTTCTAGCAATCGCTCAAAAACTGTTGAAAAAATTGGAGTTAACCGATGTATGAGTAATGTTTGATGCTTTTGAGCGGTTTTACCAATATTAAAAGCAGGTTTAAATTAGCATTTTTCAATAACTGTGGTAACACTGCGTGACGAATACAGTTGTTCTCAAATTTGTAATTGACCTTGATTAACTGTCCTAAAAAGTTTTTTTCTAAAGTTTGGAACCTTGAATGTTTTTATTTGGAAAATTTTAATTGAAAAGATTAGCAGTCCGTTGTTGGTTATGAAATCGCTGAACGATAATACAAGGAAATCAACATTTGTATGGTGTTTAGGTACTTTTTGAATCAAAATACTGTGAAACAATATGCAAATCAAAGAAAATGTTAATTATTAGCTTCCTTAAAAACACAATTGGCGATTATTTTTTAATTATATTTTATTACCTTTAACTTTTTGTTATTCAAACTTTTACTCAAAAATGTCTTTTGCCATTTGACAGCCATTTGAGGATAGCTAGTCAAGGACAATTATAAAATCACGAAGCCGAATACCATTGAATAAGTACCATTTAAATAATCTAATTTTGTTTAAAGAATCTCATTTTTGCTTAATGGTAACAATTATTATCAATTGTTATCGATTCAAAATTTAATCTATTGGAAAAAGCCATGCGGTCTTCATGTATTGTTTTGAAATCAATGGAATTCTATGACAACCACCTTTTGTCATTCATGGCGAGATTTCGACTTTTTGTTTCGATCAGCGCGACGAAAAACGCCTATATTTTGATCGGCGCGACCAAAAACGCGTAATTTTTTACTAACGCGACTGAAAACGTTTACATTTTGATCAAGTTTGACTAAGCGACATAAGCTTTCATCGGCGCAACATAAGGTTCTTATGTTGCAACCAAGTTCGACTGAACCATATCTGTTCCGACCAAGTTCGACCCAGAAAAAGCATTTTGACCGAGTTCGACCAAACAAAAACGTTTCAACCGAGTGCAACCAGCGTTGAGGTCCCCTCCATATTTCCAGACTTTTGCGACAATTTTTTGGCATGTGCAGATTTTTGCCACCACAATGATCCAGTGTAACCTATATTTGGTATGTCTAGACTTTCACGAACAAGATTTGACATTTCCAGATTTTCGCGACCAAAAAACTCAGCCGCGACTTTTGCGACCAGGGCTGAGACGGTACGACTACCGGGTCGAGTTTTTCAACTTATGTTTCGACTGCCTCGAAGAAGAATATCTATGTTCCGACCGACTCGACTGAAGGTAAAACTTCAGTTCCGTGTACTCTGTTTTTGAAACTGTAGTGTTAGTCAGGCTGTACACCGTTATAGCGAGGTTTGATTTCATTGCTTATTGTGCGTGATCAAACATGGCTTTTTAGAGTAATTAGAGTGATTAACTGAGTTGGTAATTTGATTGATGATGACAGTCGCTTTGTGCAAGTTGTACCAAAAGTTTAAACAAAAAATTTTTTTTTTAGCTTTAGCTTCAAGGTGAGTAATCCGTTGGTAACTTATTGATGATGATGATAACTTGACGAGCTTCAAAATGAGTAAACTTGATGGTAATTTAATTGATGATGACAGTAGCTTCGTGCAAATTGTACCAAAAAATTTCAAAAAAAAATATTTTTAGCTTTAGCTTCAACTGAGAAACTGTGTTGTGGTATCATAACTGATGATAAGTTTATGAAATGAGGACTGTTGTTTTGTTATTTTTGTAGTTGACTAATGGTCAACTTGAGTTTTTCCTAGTTTCACTTTTCCTGGTAACAATTTTTTTGTCGTTGCTCTAAAAACGTTGCTTAGTTTTGTACTTTGGGACCATGTGTAGGTCTTCTCGTGGCCGTCCTGTATATGATCACGAAATATGTTGCTCTGGCTAACTGCGCATAGGACACACAATGAATTATTTTTTTTTGCAATAAGCTTCTGTTAACAGTTTGCAAGCAAAAAGAATATCTGAAATTTCAGTTCGACTTTGTGTCGACTTTCAATTCGACTATAGGCCCGTGCCAAGCAGATTTTTGGTCGAATTATGATAACTGGTACGGCCCAGTTCGACTTTATGTTTCGACCCAATTCGACTTTATGTTTCGACCTAATTCGATTTTTATGTTTCGACCCAAATCGACATTATGTTTTGACCCAGTTCGACATTATGTTTAAACTAACTTAACTTTATGCTTCGAATCAATTTGTCTATAGGCCCTGCGTGACTATGGTTTTTTGGTCACACAATGGCATCTGGCTCGACCATTTTGCTCGAAACATAAAGTCGAAAACTCAACCCGGGCAACCTGTCCTTTTTCACAACGTTTCTTTTTTGACATTTATGGATATTTAGTTTGACTAGGGAAGTCAAACAAAGGTAATGTTATTTTTGCGGAGGTTACCTGTGATCACGTGAACAGGGTACTTAGGGTCCAGATAAAGTGATGAGTTTTGAACTCGCTCCCAGTCGTAATTGTACATTGGATACATTCTTTCGTAGTTGTGCTTGTGTCCGTATAGCTGGATATCGACTCCGTTTTGGTAGAATAGATCTTCCAATTTGTAATACTGATATGTGGCGTCAATTTAGCTTTTTTGATCACCAAAATTGTATTGATATGATCGGCCCAATTTAAAGGTTTTTTTAACTGATAAGTCTTTTTTGAAAAATGTAAGAGAAGCTTTGAAAAAGACAAAAATACTTTTGCAACCTATAAAAAGTCACATGAGCATTATCGTCCTTTTTTTAGTTCTAAGCGTTCGTCCCCAAAAAAAAATATATCTTGATCTCTTAAAGAATAGCTGGAAAAACAACACTTCAAAAACTGCAATCCACCATCAACCTAATTTATATCGGATGAAAAAACCGCTAGGCGAAGAGTTCAGTAATGTCGAAATCTATTTGCATGTCTTTTGTTTCAAAAAATTACCCATATTTTTTGTCATTTTCCTGAGTGACAATGAAAAATTGTTTCGAAAAAGCTTAACAGCTAAATTGGTGCCTCGTTTTTGTATCCAGTTCGGATGGGGTTGTCGGCGTCGCAGTCTTCGTTGTCTTTGGCACTGCAGTACATGGGTCTGTGTCCGGTAGTGATAATCCAAGGCTGGTTCTGTCTGGCTTCGGGGGTGTTCGCTTTCTCCAGGTCCTCCACGAGCCAGTTGTATTGAGCCTGAGTAATTTAACCAGCTACTTCAAATGTTTTTGAGGTTATTTTTTGTTTCATTTTAGAATTTTTACACTCTGTTCTTTATGATTGGAACGAAAAGAAATCCATGTTTGATATGGTTCAGGGTTCAGTAGCGGATTTGGGGGGGGGGGGGGGGGGGGGGTTTGACCCGCTGCCGACCCCCCAAAGGGTCCCATCTTTGTTATTTTCTGAGATTTTCACTTTTGGATGACTGATCTTAAAATTTTTATAAAGGCGAATTGGGCTAATTTTGAGGGGGGGGGGTCGAAATTTTCCAATTTTTTGGTCGAAATTTTCCAAAAAGTGCCCAAAATTTTTTTAGCTTATTTTTTGAAAAAATTGCTTGCCACGCAGAAAGTTTGTCAAAATAGAGTCTTTATAGTGATTTGGGAGAGCTCAAAAAATCAATTTATTTAGTCGACCTAAAAAAAATCCGCCCCGGCTCTTCTTCCTTTTCCCCCCACCTGCAAATTTTTATGTTTGAAGTTAGTGTCCACTTAGTCCGATTGTCATGAAAATTGACATGCAGACTAATTAGGCCATGACAAACATATTTGTTCTTCATAACTAACCTTGTAAAACCACTCGGTATACCATAAAATTCATGTTTGAGTGAGGTGGGGAGAAAGGAAAAAGAGCCTCCGCCCCTTCCCCCTCGAAAAATTCCTAGATCCGCGCCTGATATGGTTGATTGATAAATCATTTAAGACACTCGAGTGAAGATTTAATCAAAATCTTATGTACACATGTAATTCAGCTGACTTGCTTAGATTCTTCTAGAAGATCAACGACAGTAGTTATCAAAACAAAATTAAACTAAACGCGTAAAATTTGAAAATTAAACTCATTTTTTTCCTTGCCTGAAGTTGTCCAGTTCCATACTCGTCGTAGATGTAGAACTCAGTTGTGAACATGATGAGGTGGATGGGACCTATGTTGTAACTGTGATAGAACACACTGGGTGGGGGAGAGGTGAATTTATTCCTGTACTCTGAAACAAATTATTTCCGAAACTTGAAAACAGTCTATTCTGAAAAAAGTCTATTGAAAACAATCCGAAATTTCAAAATGTCTAAAATTCGTCCATTAGTAATCAAATGATTATTTTATAATGGCAGAGAATTTGCTTGTGAATTTAAAAATGGAACTTCTTTTGTCTAATTTAACAAAAATGCTCGTGTCAGGGCCAAACCTTGAATGTTCTGTTTGCATTCCAATGTCTACGGAATAGTTTAAATCAGGAAAATTGAGACGTTTTTCAAAAAACGAAAAAAAAATAAATAAAAATTTTTTCTCGCGTTTTTTTGAAAATCATCCCCCACTCTTTAAAAAATCATTACTTTACGAACATCGATAAAAAATATTTTTTTGTTTCGACCTTCGTAACAAAAGTAACGGAATATTTATGCCCGGATGATTTTTTTTCTTCAGGCAAATTTCGAAAAAAAATTTTATCATTCAAAAAGTAATTTTGTCCTGAGCTTGAATTTGAAAAAAATCATTCATTTTTGCCCCATTTGCATAAAATTATGGAGGTTTATAATTGCCACTTCAATCAATATGGGACAATTAAGCGCGATATACTTCGCGCTATTAACGCTGAGAATTAATCCGTCTTAGAAATCGTTCCAAATTGTTTGAAAGAGGCTTATTTGTCAATATTGATTTGCTGGTAGGAGCGAAGTATATCACTTTTTACTTTATATGGCTTATGGGTCATGATTTCCATTAAAAAGTTCTGAAAAATTAAAAAATAATTTCTTTTCTTTCCATTTATTACATTTTAATTTTTCATGTTATTTCTGCTCCATAGACCTTTAAAGGCAGTCAAAATTTTCTAGGGCGTCGCCTTGATAAAAGCAATTTTTTTTTAATTTGAGCTAAGATCAACATTGTTTTTTCTTTTCAATGATATAGAAAAAATCCAAAAAAAAAATAGCTAGTTGAAAAGTCGAAAATTGTCTTGAGAAAAAAACACACAAGTACAAAGCTTCCGTGACTTTCATCAAAAGTTGGAATAAAAAAAGTTTCTGTTTAAAACAAACTTTTAACCATCTTAACCCAAATTTTTGGCGCTCAAAATAAGTGACGGATTATTTGCTGGTGTTTTTCTTTTTATGGCGCTCAAAATAAGTGACGGATTATTTGCTGGTGTTTTTCAATTTTTTAAATAGCAATTTTCGACGCATTTTTTCATAAACTTTGAAAGACATTGAGACCCAAGGCTTGAAATTATCAAGATCCTTAACCTGTGATCTTTTTATGTTGGTTTGAATTTGGTAATTTTTTGTTGATTGCAGTTTGCATTGACGTGTGATACAATTTGTCCGATGCATTGAAGCTTAAGCGGGAATTTAGATCATTTCAAGCCGAACCAAAAATTGTTTTTTTAATGCGTTATCAAGCGCAAATAATATTTTTGTACTAACATAGCCTGTGGTCGAAAAATTAAAAAATCAAAACTTAAAAGAAAATATTTAAATTATTTTTAAAGCAAAAAAATTTGACTAACGTCAAAGGACCGTTTCTGTAATCAAATCGTGCTTCCGGTCAAAACTCGTAATCCTTAGACAAGCTTTGAATTCCAATGACAAAGCGAAAAAGGAGGAAGCAAAAAACAAACTCAAAAAAATTTGTATAGTGTGGCGTAACATGGGGAATACAAAAATGCAAAGATAAGTATTTGTAATCAAAATTTTTATAGTCCGTCGATTCCATATGAATGATGGGTAAATTTACACCAAATTTAATAATACTAATACTATTAATAATAATATGTTTTATGATATTAACAAATTATTTACTTTTTAGCAGTTTCAAACTTAAGCGGAATTAGGTTGAAAAAATGCACCAAAACCAGTGACATTGTTTTTGGAAAATGTTTCACTTCCAAAGCAATTCAGCAGAGCGTTTACGTTTTTCAGTTGGTCATAAGCACACTCTAAGATTTTTTACTCCCATTTATCTTCCCTAGTCAAGCTTAAATGGTTGATTACCTTGTAAGTTTTTGCGAAACTTCTACAAAAAAAACATTTAGTTTTAAGACTGCCCGGGTTGACCAAAAAGATAGTCATACACTTTTCATGCAAAAAATGGCAAGAAAGGCCTATGATTAGTGATCTGTCATATATGGAAACTGTATCATTAGAATTTTTCCATTAAAAAGTTTTTCTAAAAATTTATTCTCGAAACTTTTGGGTTGCGTTCGTAACCGAACACAAGTGGCAAAAACCATGGTTACCCAAAAGTAAAGTCGCCAAATAATTGACCATGTTCATTAACAATTATTCGGAAACTGCCTGAATTGTCTTAGTTTTGTCTTGAGCAAATGATATACTGAAACTGAAAGTATCAGGCTTTAAAGTTTTGGCAAACATTTTCAAAAGTGATTTTTTCAAAACTGGAATTCAATTAAGGCATACAAAAACATGCTACACAAAATAAATTTGAGTTTTGAGCATTTTTGATAAAATTGTCCTGAGAAATGGAAAAAAATTAACTTTTGTGCATCCAGGACTATATTATGCCAAAAAAACTAATTTCAAACAACGAAAACGAGATTGTAATAATGGAAAATATATAATTAGCTTTTTTGTTGACAAAAAATTTTTGTTTTTTGTTTGTGACGATAAACCGAATATTATGCTAAAACAAGATAACTTTTTTGAAAATTCGTTGAGTTTGTTTTAGCAAAACGTATGAAATTTGTATGACTAGTATTTTTTATAGACTTAGTTAATGCAAATGTATGATAAGCATTTTTGGTCTATTGAGGTCAAACCGGTCTTACAACGAATGCTATTTATAAAAAAAACTTACAAGATTTTATAAGATTAGCACCGGCAAATTGTTTTTTTTTCAGCGAATGATTATCTATTAAGATCTTGTGAGACTTAATCTTGTGAGACTATATTGGATCTTACAAAACGTTGTGATAATTCTTAATATCTTTCGATTTCTTCTAAGAAATTTTTGTTTTGCTTAATGCCTGGAAAAAATTTTTATAATATGGAAAATTTTATAAAATTCTTTATTTTGTTCAAATAAGTTGATCTTAAGCTAGTAAAGTTTATCTTGTTTGATTGTGGCAGTTTTACGCATACACTTACAAGTTCCTACTAGAAAACTCGCAATAACTGACAAAATTCGAGATCAACTAGAGTCGGATTTAAAAAAGCGTATACCAGATATTGGTAGGAAAACTCAAAACTGACTCGTCTTTGTTACTAGTTGACCCGGAAAGTACAAGCTTCCTAAGAAAAATTGTGTATATTAAAGGTTTCCTATTTTTTCAAAGAACTTCTGATCAAGCAAAACTATCAGGCAAAACTGAGTATCGAGGAGATAAAAAATATCTGTCTCGTTTTTCTTAAGCATTGATAAAAATTTTATCGACCTATTTTCGCATGCTATATATACGCCGTATCGTAAAAAGTCACAATGTTTTTAACTCATGACTAAAATAGAACACACGCACAAGATGTTGAGTCACACACACACAACTCAAACCATAAATAAGCAAAACAGAACATATAAACTTAGAATATGTATATAGTTTTACCATTTTAGATCATTGAAGATTGAACGAAAACTGTGTGACGTCAAAATCACTTTCATTTGCACCAAGAAAAAACAATAATTACGGAGGCTTTCAACGTTATAGTAGAGCAAAATAGTTACGAAAAACTGGCCATTTAAGAAACTCCAGACCGATTTTCTGTCATGACTAATGTGAGTGTTCGATTCAACCGATTCAATTGGATCTCTTCGGTTTTGCTAGTCGTGTTGTTCTCGGCCCTCGAGTGCCGCGGGGGAACTGTGGCTTGTTCGGATGATTCCATGTGCGAGTGGGCCAATGTATGGGATGACGATATTGGAGTTGAGTGTTGTGATCATGACAACACATGCAGTCATGACTGCAGTCTGTGAGTCAAAAATTACACTTTTTTTCTTCAAAATATTTTAGACCAGAATATAAACCATTTTCCTCCCGCACCGGAGTTCCATGGATAATAATCGATTATAATGGAAAAATGTTGTCTAAAATGTTGTCATTATAATCCATTATAATCCATTATAATCCATTATTGTGGCAAATTTAGACCACGTAATCGATTATGTGGTCATTAAAATCGATTTTTTTGAAAAATAAAAATCCATTATAATCCATTATAATCGATTATAATCCATTATTTTTGTCACTGAAATCGATTATTTTTGCCAAAATAATCCATTATAATCGATTATTTTGAAATAAAAATCCATTATAATCCATTTCATTTTTAGAACTAAATTCGATTATGGCATCCCCTCGAATAAAATTTAGACAAAAAAAACAAAAATTTTGAAAAGTTCGTTTTTTGCACCACGCTCGATTAGGCTTAACTTTTTGGCATCACCGAGATTTCAAAAGCTCATAACTTTGAATTGGTCATCCCCGTCATCCCCTCGTATCCTCAAGCTTCCCCCTCCCCCTCAGCTAAAGTGATAGGGTAACTGGGGGGGGGGGGGGGTTGTTGGCGGTAAACGGGGGGGGGGGGGGTGGGTGTGGGGGAGTAAAAAAACTGGGTTAAAAAAACTTTATAATTATTATCCATGGAACTCCGGTGGGGAAAGCTATGAAACTCTAATTGAAACCCCTGAAAATTTGGTTTAATTAGGGTTTTGGTTAAAAAAAAACAGTGAAATGAAGTGTTAGTTAAACTGCGATGAATTAAAAAAAGTAGAGGCAAAAAATATATAAATTTTATTCTGAAATGTAAAATTTTATGAAATGTAATTCGTAGCAACTGCACTAAACAGGAAATGAGATAATTTTGAACAAAATTGTAAATTTCAAGAGTAACCCCTCGAAAAAATCCATTATATTCGATTATAATCGATTAAAAATGGATTATTTTGCCTCGAAAACAAGTTTCATTTTCTTTCAAAAATAATCGATTATAATCGATTATGATCGATTATATTCGGGTTTTATTGATAAGAAAAATAGTTTCATTATAATCCATTTTTTATCGATTATAATCGATTATTATCAAAATTTATTGAGACAGACCACGAAAATTCAATATAATCGATTATTATCCATGGAACTCCGGTGCGGGCTCCTTCTTAATATCACTTCTTTGAAGTGCAAAGCACATGACGCCAAATGTTATCTTAAAAAATGATGACCCGAAATCAATTTCTTAAAATATATACTGAATTTCTGGCAACATGTAACATGAAGCTTAGCGTTCATTTGAGCGATCTTGTTTGGTGGTTTATGAAAATAATGCATCATTTTTTCGAAAAAAAGCGTCCAACAAAAACTGAAAACTTAAAGTTTTTCATCTGCTTCGATAATGGAGTTTATCGACTATGCTTATTCTTTTTTAGTGAGCTGGTTGGGTTCTACATACTGGTGATTGCTCTGCCGATTGTGTTTTGTGGCTGCCTACTTGGAGTTATTACATGTGTGTCATGCTGTATTATCAATGCACAGAGTTGGTTTTCTTCAGTTAACTTTTTCAAAAAATTTTCTCGTTTAACTTAATTGATAGACGTTTATTTGTTCAAATTTTCTGATTACATAAAACTATTCTGGCAGAAGGAGAGCTGGTTTTGCTCGCAAAACTTTTTGGAGTTGAATTGCGTTTTTAAATTTTTTTTGCAAGATTTTCAGATAAGTTTTTTTTTACATCAGAAGAAATTATTTTTCCTCCACCGCCCTGCCCACCCCTCATCGCAAGGTCAATTGAGCAAACAAATGTACCAAAATGTTGGTCAATATCCTGGTACTTATTTTAATGGATAGATTAAAATTCTTTCTTTCAAATTTCACTTTTTTGGAGTAAAATTTGTCAATTGATACTTCATAGCTCTTCATTATAGTCTTCAATTTGTAACAATTTTTTTAATACACAGTAAAAGATTATCCGGTTACACTAACTGATTTTAATTGATTCAAACTACCTATATTAAACTTGAATAGTTCCATTTTTTGGGTAAGAAGTTTTTAAATTATTTTTAGATTCTTTTAGAAAATACGTTTAAATTGTTTTTAGAAACCCACGAGTCGACACAAGCTTGGAGAAGCGACGTCTCTGCTAATTATGGAGTCCCGATGGAGCCTCCACCATACTCCAGCTAGTCATTTTTACCCAGCTATACCACTCATGTTTTAAGACAATCAACTGTTAAATTTTTAGATTTTTTTCAGTTCATCCCCGTTTGAATTTTTATGACAAATTAGAATGTAAATTATGTATTTTGTATCATTTCTTTTTAGAAAATTTTTTTCTGGCAATCTCTTTTTATTGACCACTTAAAGATTAAACTGTTTGTAACTAACAGTACGGAAGGCGATGGGATCGGTTACTTAATATCGAACTGTGAGAAGAGGATTTTTTTCTTCAAAAAAAAACAAGATCTCGAGTCTACTGAAATGTACTTCGTACTTAGGTGAATGAAAATTAATGATTGGTCAGATGCTACTAAGCAGATGAGTCTTAAGTTTTTCAAATACGATGGGCAAATTTTGATTACCAATATCAAATGTATCAACTAATAACAAATCTATTATTTAACCAATTGATTGATTCGAACTGCCCGCTTTGACAAAAATGGATTAAGAAATTAAATGGATTATGCTTGAATTAAAATGTAAAACTCAGGTTTAAGCAAGTAAATTGGTTTTTAGAATTTTAAGCGCCTTTTTGGGAAGCAAAAACTTAAAAATTCAATAAATTTTTCAACGAAAAATCTAATTGGGTTTCCTTTTTATTTTATAAAACAAAAAGTGTTTTCTGATATTGAGCAATTGAAACTGCTTGTTTTCTCATAATCTTAAGCCCTATCGAACATCGAATGATGCGCAAGAAATTGAGAAAAATTGGTGAAAATGGCTTAAATTGCCCATAAATTCTTCAGATAAAATATGACAAAACATAGCCGAGCTTCAAAAAATTTGGAAAAAAATAGCACCAATTAGAAAAAAATGGAAAATACCCATATATATTTTGATTTCTTTGGGCTCAGCGAGAACTAAAAACACTGACTTAGTGTCTTGTCTGCGCAACTATTACTGTTGTCAGGCGAGGATCTAGGAATTTCACGCTCGAGTGGTGGAAAGGGGGGGGGGCAGATTTACAAAAAAAATTAGGTCGACCAAACTGATTTTCTGAGCCCTCCCAAATCACTATAAAGACCCTAGTTTGACCAAATTTTCGAAATTTTCGAAAAAAGGAAAAAGCCAAAAAAAAGGCGTTTTTAGGCACTTTTTGGGAAACGTCGACCAAAAACTCGCGTTTTTTCGGCGCGCGCTTCCCTTTCAAATTTAGCATAGATTGGCTCCGAAGGCGCCTTAAGAACAATTTTAAAAATGGATATCTCAAAATAGCACAAAGTATCAGTTTGGTCCGCCCCCGCCCCCGCCCCCTTAATTCCGCTACTGACTCTTGAAATCTAATTTTTTTCAGCCAATCAGATTTGAGCATAGTATATGCAGGCCTAACAGTTTCAATTTGATTTTTAGTTTTAGGGTGGCGGTTGTCCACTTTGGTCTATTAAGGGGGGAGATTGTTCACATAAGCTGATTGAACTCCTAGTTACCTGAGAAGTTGTTGGTTCTCTCGTGGTTTCCAGGAATCACACTGTAAGGATAGTGAGCTGCTATTGGTTGGATCAGCCGCATGAATGCATCCCCTCGAGCGCCCATCAATTCATGCATGTTATACGCTACAGAAACACAAGTTTAAAGTCTCCTTTTCAATTTTTAATGAAAAGGTTGAATTTAACGAATCGCAAACGAACTATTGTAGCTCATCTCGATTTTTTTCCATGACAACCAAAAAACTTCTTCTTTAGTTGTCAATGCATTGAGTTATTTGCATAAAAGAGTTTTCATAAGAAATGCAAATGCATAAACTAATCTTGTCAAGTTTTCTTTTTCATCTGGGACTGATAAAATGATATTTCAGTTTTCTACTTTTTGGTACATGGCTCAAATCATGCGTCACTGATAGTTTTTCATCAGTCTTTCAGATCTTTGTCTTCTTTTCTTAGATGGCGGCAAAAATTTAAATTTTCGTTCCATTACGAAAACTGCAATAGAAATAAAAATGGAAACTCAGCTGCATATTGAGCAATTGGGGACCGAAAACTGGGCCCAACTTTTTGAAAATAGAGCAAATTCAGTTCTCTTCATGGAGGACCCCAAAAGCGAATCTATAAAAAAGAGATCAAAATGGTAATAAAATATGCTAAATGCTCTAACTAAAATTATCAGGAAGTAAATAAGAAGTAAAGAATTGAGTTCAATTAAAATATGTGTTATTTCTAACTAAAACGCAATAACACTGAAGTCGCTCACTCCGAAGGAGATCACTATGAATTATAGTCAAGGCCATATAGGAGCTGTTAAGATAAGTAATCAAATAAAACAATAAAGCAATCGCAGCAAATGTGGACCAATTTTCACCCGGGAAGCTCGAAATTCCTCGACAACTTACCAATATCCCCCAAATGCCAGATGATGTCATACACCCTCTTCTGGCCGTCCTGCTTCAATTTATCCAGTGCCACATGATTCTCCACTCCCATGTCGCCGAACACAGCAATAGTCGGTTTGAAGTCGGAGCTATTTTGAGGGGGGAATGTTCGGAACTGGAATTGATCACTCGTGATCAGAATATTCTGTACACTGTATTCTGAAATCATTCTCTACAATGTATTAAAAGTGGGTGAGTAGAACTAAGGGTTTTAGGAACCGCGTAGAGAGAAACTCAGTTTATTGTGAAATCTAGTAGAAATTGTTTCCGAAAACTGAAATTAAAAGCTGACGAAAACTTCATCGAAGTACTGAAAACTCGGAAAGTTAAGAAAACTGATGAAAAACTGATTTGAAGTGAATGATTCTCAAAATATCATGATAAGGGCTTAAACTTGAATTCATTTATCCAGAAACATTACATTATTAATGAAAAAAACGCAATATGTTCTCTGGAACGGCTATTGAAAAAGCATTCCAGCTCATCGCTAACCGCTTAGGAAAAATAAAAGAGAAGACAAGTGGAAAAGTGGGCTCCTATACAAAAAAAGTTTCATAAAAACTCATTATCTTTAATGTAATAATTGCAAAAAGTTTGCAGAAAAATTTTAATTTCGCTTGTTTTTAGGCTTTTAATATCATTGAGAATTAGATGAGACTCTATCATTAAACTATATGCTAGATAGGTGTCTTTTTAGAAACTTTTTCATGACTTGCTGTAAAAGGGCACAGTTGGCTGCACATCTTTGCTGGAACTACGAGTGACACGACGGTTTGTTATTTTTTCTGTTTTCAATAACTCATCCCTTTTTTGGCGTCCTAAAATTTGAAAAAGCTCCTTAAACAGTTCATACAGAAAAATTTCATACACGTTTAGATTTTTTTGTTTCATTATTTCCCTGACAGGTTCCGACTTTTTCTTAAAATAGATGGTTCTCATAATACTTTTCTGAAACTTGTGTATTTCCTTCAGATGAGTTTTATATGTGTTACCATAAACCAAAATCCCGTGGGGAATTACTGATTTAACATATGATGTATAAAATTGAAGCAATTGTGGTTTCGAGAAATACAACCGAGCCTTATAAACTATTCCCGAAAATCTAGCCATTTTTTTGGTAATTGTTGAAATGTGCTCAATAAAAACTTATTTGGAGTCAATAATTATACCTAAATATTTACAAGAGCTCAGTTTTTCAATTGCCCAACCCAGACATAATTATTCGACAATTATTTTTTGACCAAAATTTAAAAGGCTACATTTCTTAGTAATCACCGTCAAACCACTTTCTAAAAACCAACTTTTTTTGGCAATCAAATCCTCAGTAAATTGTTGGCATGTTAACTTAGTTTCTGTATATACCGTCGTGTCATCAGCAAACAGGGTAAATTTTGAATTTTTCAAGCAACTCGGCATATCATTGATAAAAAGTAGAAGTAAAAGCGGATGGATGTGAATGAAATGTGGATAATTCAGAATAAGATGTGGAAAAAACTCAAAACATGAATGGTTCAGAATAAGGTTTTGCTATTAGTTACCATAAAAAGTATCCGGTATCAAATCCGTCATAGTAGCCCGGAAAGTATAAGTTGTTCTGAATGTCGTATTGTCATCATCACTGTAGTGTCGCATTGAAGTCATAGTCGCATTCACCACATGAGTTGAAGTGTCATTTGAGTTGACAGCAGTGTAGGACACTGAGCCTTCTCCGACATACACTGATGTGGTCCAAGTAACAAACATACTGGATGGGTCGCCTATATGAGTTCATTGTCATTATTTTAAAGAATATTGTACTTAACGGTGGTGAAGTGGTTACGTCTCCGCCTCTCAATCGAAAGGTCGGATGTTCGAGGCCCACCATGATTCGTGCTCGCTGCTTGAGGGTGAAGCAGCATTACCCAGCCCAGAAAAATAACCAAAAAAATTGCATGTAGCTCTTAAACAAGGGCACAACAGCGGTTCGCCGTGATGGTCCTTTCCCCCGTAGATAAATGGTCTTAACTTAACTTAAACGTCAAAAAATTAAATGAAAGTGTGGGTAATTGCATAACCATGTATCGAATAGATGGAGTTTGAAAGAAAGACATCCTTCGTATGAAACGACGTTTTTTCAAGAATAACTTCTATCGAGAAAAATTCAACTAAGCAGCCATTCAAATAATCAAAAAATTCTGATGAGTGATTACTTTAACCGATTTCGATTTGTTAAAAAATAGTTTTGAGCCAATAGAATTGAGCCATCATTTTCAGTTGTTATTTTTAGATAAAAGATAAAGAGGACAAGGTTTTTAATAAATTACCGATGGAATACAAAAAAAAAAGGTTTCTACGCACCAGTATATGAAAGGTGAATTTGTTCAGTCTGGACATACTCGTATTTCGTAACAGAAAAACTCACAACAGAAGTAGAAAGAACCGAGATCAAAAAGAAATCGAAAATCACAAAATTTGAACTCAGTTTCATTTTTGACCAAGTTGATCTTGCTAACACTATAATTCGAATGTGAAAATATGTTTGTTCTATTTATTAGCCCTATTGTAAATAACAGGGTGACATGAGTGAACAACTATAACTTATGCAATTATAGTTACGCAAAAACTTACCATCTCGCCACTTTTGCTGGATAGATGACAAAAGTGAAATATCTCAGATGATCTATTTTGGAGTCTCTCCGAATTCAAACTAATTTCAGCTTATTTGTTAAGGTAGTATTCATGATATAACATAACTAACCAATATAACTGTGCAAATATTTTTGTTCATGCAGTTTAAACATTCCAGCGGTCGCCCTCTCCCCCTCAGGTATTCGACCACAAAATCATCCAAAGGGTCCCCCATTTGGTACTTTTTAAAACATTTTTTTCATTTCTGACTGGCCCTGAACAATGCTTCTAGAGGTACTAATTTTTAGGGGGACTCCAAAAAGCGCAATTTCCTGGTGAAAACTTTCCAAAAATGGACTAAATTTCAACCGTTATTTTCAAAAAACTGCCTTCGGCGCAAAAAAAAATTGGTCAAAATAGGGTCTTCTTGATTTAGAGGCAAAAAATCACTTTGATCGAAATCATAAAAGGTCGACAAAATTAAATTCAAAAAAATATTGAAAATCCCCCCTCGAGAAAACCCTAGCACCACCACTTGTCAGCATCACAGTTAAAATACAATTTTACAGTTTTGGATTTTCAGTTTGAACTACTTTACCAGCTACATATACAACGCCAAAAGCAGTATATTATGCCTGAAGGGAGATCCCAACAAGAAGTACTGCTCATCGAGTAGAATATCTTGAACAGCAAAGAGAAGACAGCCAGCATCAATTCAGCAAACAAATTAATTCAAGGGCTGAAGTTAAAAAACAGTTTTTAGAGGTTCTAATTGTTCTTTAGGTAAATTTGAAAAAAATGTCTATAGAAGCTCAAACAGCTAACTTGTGACATTTCATGTATGTTAACAGGTATCAAGTCAGTTTGTTTTAAATAGTTAAAAGCCTGCACAATTCTAACTGTAAGCGAGTTCTGTTTAGCGGTAGTAGAAAGTTTCATCACTTTAATTACGCTTTTCGCGTTTTGCTCCTGGTACTTAATATACTTTTTTGGAGTAAATCTCAGAAATAAAACCACTTTTTTGTCCGATCGAAATTCCATAAACAAGTAGTTAAACATCTCAAAAAAGTATAAATCAAAAGCAGTAAGCAATTTGTTTTCGTCCATAATTTCCTTGATTGATTCAGATCTACATTTAAAATTAGTTGCTCTCAAGCTTCTTTTTTGTAATTTGTAATTTCTTTATCCCGGCAAGGTGAGATTGGAATGTATTTCCGTAAATTAAAAATCCATAAGTTAGGTGATTGTAGGAATTACATATGCTTTGTAAAAGCTAGGCATCTGCTGTTTAGAAAAAAGGTACCTAAATTTCCAGACAATGCCACAAAATTTAGATAATTGTTTGCATATATGTTCATTTTGAAATTTGAAAGTAAGTTTATTATCAAGAAGAAAGCGTAAATTTTTACACACATTATTAATTTGAACTGAAGTACCAAAAGCAAAGTAATCTTTTGAAAAATTACAACCAAATTTTTTAATGTGATTCTTACCAAGATTTGCACCAAGACCATTCGTTTCGAACCATCTATCCATTTTATTTAACGAGCTATCAAAGTTATCGCAATGATTTTTTTCTGCCTTGCATATAGTAGTATCATCAGCAAATACAACTACCTCAGATCCTTCTGCAGTTTCACGAATTTCTACCTCAGTTCTGCAATTTCTACCTCAATCAATACTGACCTAAGTCGAGAGTTGGTTAACGCTAAACTGATGTCGTCGAACAGCAATTATCATATATTCAAATCGTATTTGTGTCGGCCTCATTAGATCAGTGAAGTTCGTTTTTTGCTTTCTCTTAGTTTTAACCAAGAACTTTAACAAGGATAAATTTTCAAGTCAACACATCGTTCCTTTTCAATAAGAACAACTTTCGTATCTGGTTTCTGTAATCAAAATTTTAATAATTTTGAGGGGGGAGCGCCGGCCGAAAAAAAAAACAATTTTTTGGTAAAAATTTTTCAAAAACTGCCTAAAAACTTGGCCTGTTTTTCGGCCTGTTTTTTCTTATTTTGCCTGCGGCGCAGAAATTTTGGTCAAAACTGAGTTTTTTTAGTGCTTTTGGAGAGCTCGGAAATTCCTATTGGTTTGCTTCCTTACTCCTAATTCAGGCCACTTGAGAGTTTTTACGGGACTACCTGAATATTACTGTGTTCTAATATTTTCTATTGTTTTTGAGATCAACGAAGATAAAATTCGCCCTAAAGGGATTCAGTCTCGATAGTTGTACAAAAAGTCGTGATTTGTTTTTTTTCCAGTCCCAAACAAGATTATGTTTTGAATGAAAACAATTTTTTCTTCGAACTGCAGTCTAATTAGAGCATCTCCTCTTTGCTTCAAACATTTGCTTAGAACGTTTCCTCTTTGCTCAAAACAATTGCTTAGAACATCTCCTCTTTGCTTAGTACATTTGCTTAAAACATCTTCTTTTTGCTTAGAACATTTGCTTAGAACATCTCCTCTTTGCTTAGAACATCTCCTCTTTGCTTAGAACATTTGCTTAGAACATCTGCTCTTTGCTTAGAACATTTGCTTAGAACATCTCCTCTTTGCTTAGAATATTTGCTTAGAACGTTTCTTCTTTGCTCAAAACAATTGCTTAGAACATCTCCTCTTTGCTTAGTACATTTGCTTAAAACATCTTCTTTTTGATTAGAACGTTTGCTTTGAATATCTCCTCTTTGCTTAGAACAACTCTTCTTTGCTTAGAAAATTTGCTTAGAACATCTTCTCTTTGCTTAGAATATTTGCAAAGATCATCTCCTCTTTGCTTAGAACAATTGCTCACGACATCTTCTCTTTGCATAGAGCATTTGCTTAGAACATCTCCTCTTTTCTTAGAAAATTTGCTCAGAACATCTCCTTTATACTTAGAAAATTCGCTCAGAACATCTCCTTTTTGCTTAGATTATTTGCTAAGATCATCTCCTCTTTGCTTAGAACAATTGCTTAGAACATCTTCTCTTTGCATAGAGCATTTGCTTAGAGCATCTCCTCTTTGCTTAGAATATTTGCTAAGATCATCTCCTCTTTGCTTAGAACAATTGCTTAGAACATCTTCTCTTTGCATAGAGCATTTGCTTAGAGCATCTCCTCTTTTCTTAGAAAATTTGCTCAGAACATCTCCTTTTTACTTAGAACATTTGCTCAGAACATCTCCTCTTTGCTTAGAATATTTGCTAAGATCATCTCCTCTTTGCTTAGAACAATTGCTTAGAACATCTTCTCTTTGCATAGAGCATTTGCTTAGAGCATCTCCTCTTTTCTTAGAAAATTTGCTCAGAACATCTCCTTTTTACTTAGAAAATTCGCTTAGAACATCTCCTTTTTGATTAGAACGTTTGCTTTGAATATCTCCTCTTTGCTTAGAACAACTCTTCTTTGCTTAGAAAATTTGCTTAGAACATCTTTTCTTTGCTTAGAAAATTTGCTCAGAACATCTCCTTTTTACTTAGAAAATTCGCTCAGAACATCTCCTTTTTGCTTAGAACATTTGTTTAGAACATTTCCTCTTTGCTTAGAACATTTACTTAGAACATTTCCTCTTTGCTTAGAACATTTGCTCAGAACATCTCCTCTTTGCTTGGAATATTTGCTAAGATCATCTCCTCTTTGCTTAGAACAATTGCTTAGAACATCTTCTCTTTGCATAGAGCATTTGCTTAGAGCATCTCCTCTTTTCTTAGAAAATTTGCTCAGAACATCTCCTTTTTACTTAGAAAATTCGCTCAGAACATCTCCTTTTTGCTTAGAACAATTGTTTAGAACATTTCCTCTTTGCTTAGAACATTTACTTAGAACATTTCCTCTTTGCTTAGAACATTTGCTCAGAACATCTCTTCTTTGCTTAGAATATTTGCTAAGATCATCTCCTCTTTGCTTAGAACAATTGCTTAGAACATCTTCTCTTTGCATAGAGCATTTGCTCAGAACATCTCCCTCCTTTTTACTTAGAAAATTCGCTTAGAACATCTCCTTTTTAATTAGAAAATTCGCTTAAAAAATCTCTTTTTTGCTTAGAACATTTGTTTAGATCATTTCCTCTTTGCTTAGAACATTTGCTTAGAACATTTCCTCTTTGCTTAGAACATTTGCTTAGAACATCTCCTCTTTGCTTAGAATATTTGCTAAGATCATCTCATCTTTGCTTAGAACAATTGCTTAGAACATCTTCTCTTTGCATAGAGCATTTGCTTAGAACATCTCCTCTTTTCTTAGAAAATTTGCTTTGAACATCTCCTCTTTGTTTAGAAGATTTACTTAGAACGTTTCCTCTTTGCTTTGAACATTTGCTTGGAATATCATCTCTTTGCGTAGAACATTTGCTTAGAACATCCTCTCTTTGCTTAGAATCTTTGCTTATAACATCTCCTCTTTGCTAAGAACATTTGCTTAGATCATCTCCTTTTTGCTTAGAGCATTTGCTTAGAACGTCTCCTCTTTGCTTAGAACATCTCCTCTTTGCTTAGAACATTTGCTTAGAACATCTCCTCTTTGCTTAGAACATTACTTCAGAACATCTTTTTTTTACTTAGAACATTTTCTTAGAACATCTCCTCTTTACTTAGAACATTTGCTTAGAACATCTTCTCTTTGCTTAGATCATTTGCTTAGAATAGTTCTTCTTTGCTTAGAACATTTTCTTAGAACATCTCCTCTTTACTTAGAACATTTGCTTAGAACATCTTCTCTTTACTTAGATCATTTGCTTAGAATAGTTCTTCTTTGCTTAGAACATTTGCTTAGAACATCTGCTCTTTGCGTAAAACCTTTGCTTAGAACATCTTCTCTTTGCTTAGATCATTTCCTTAGAATAGTTCTTCTTTGCTTAGAACAATTGATTGGAACATCTCCTCTTTGCTTAGAACATTTGCTCGGAACATCTCCTCTTACACAGCTCATATATAGTTGAATCTCATCAGCACATTAGTAGATCCAGTTGTTCTATT